ACCAGACCATTATAGAGTACACAATTTACTGTGAAATCTGTTAACTCCACCTGCCCAGAATCTGCAGACTGGCTCTGACATTCGGCAACTATTGTCACTTCATCCAGACTACAAGTAGGAGCCAAAATCTGGGCAAAAGTCATGTAGTGTATTCCAGCCTTAAACGATGACAGAATTATTATTATTTTTTGGATGAAAAATCCCTTTTCAGTCCTCAGTAGGCAAAGAAGTGGGATGGTCTGCTCTAGACCTTAGCCTTGATCACAACCCCACAGTGACCTTTGAAATTTCTCCCGCATTGTCTAATTATTTTCTCTCTATCCCTTCAACAAATCAATTTCCAGGACCTCTTCCCCTTCTTTTTTTCTCTCTCCATGTCTGAATGACAGCCTCAAAGCTGCCTACTGGGTCATGCAGATCCATTCCCTTTAACACTCAACATCTAAAGCACACAAGCTCAATCTATCACATACCTCAGAGAAGCTCGGCCCCTCTCATATACTTCTGACTCAGGCATTTGGAGATTTAAGACCCTTCCCAGGCCGAGGGCCAGAAATCTAATCTTTGATCATTTCAGCAGGTTATGACCTGTATTTATCAGAGCGAGGGTGGGTAGGCTGGAAGTTCAGCAAGGTGAATATAATTTATGAGTAAGATGCAACCCATACTATTTTCATGTACTTTCTCATGGTATAGCATAACTTCAGGGCCAATATTAGTTCATTTGAGGTCTGTGAGACCATAACAGAGCTGATGTGAGATGATAGAAGATGCAATATAATAACAACCAGAGGCCGTAATTTACTTCTCTGAACTGTCTTACCTATGATTCTATCATTGATTCTTTCCTCTCCACCTAAAGCATTTCCTTGGGGATTAATCCTAGGTATAAGCGTCCCCTTGTACTTGCCTCCCTCCTCTAATGATCACTTCTTTCATCCCTCATTATTTTAATTTAATTTCTGTATTTTTTATTGATAACTGTCATTGTTTTACATATCATTGGTGGTGGTATTCATATCTAGTGATGAAGTTAGAGTCTTGTGTTGCATGCATTTGTATTGTCTTCACTCCTCGCCATTTTTAAACACTTTTGTGTTCTTAGAATGTCACTTTATAATACAATATGATCTGATTTATCAAAGTAACACAGACACTGTAATGCTTGTGTCAGTAGGTGTTTTGCCTAACAAGCTGACCATATTTATTATGTATTAGCATAGCATTTAACAATAGCATCTATAAAATGATAACATAAGAGAATATGTATATTCACCTTGGTCTATAAATTAAATTATATCTTTAAGGCTATTTTCTACTGTTAATCTAGGACATTCTACCATTTTGAGGCTGCTTGGGATTCATCCATGCACAACTCTTTGCTGCTTAACCGTGTCACTCCTTACGGAGAGAAAATCTACATGACTCTGTCTGCTTACCTGGAGGTAACCAAGGCCATTCACTTATTCATATGGGGGGATGAGAAGTTCATTTGGGAGAGTTACAGACCTACATGATTTAATTCCAGCTAATTTAATCTACCAAACAGCCCACAGCATTTGTAATGGTTGAATCAAGTACATATGTGGAAAAAGAGGCAAATAGCAGAGAACTTTGTGACTCTATAGAGTGCAACAGTGCTTGCCCACTTTTAGTAGTGGTCCTGGTTCTGTGAAGTATTTTTCCTATTCATTTTTACACAGACATAATAAAAATAATAATAATAAATAAAATAAAAAACATTACAAATTTTGATTTAAAGCAAAGAAGTATTTGTAAATCAGATAAAAGGACATTTTTTGATGTAACATTTATTGAAGCATTGAAAATGATGTAATCATTGATGACTGATTTTAAGGATAGAAACTATATATTTTAAGTTTCTTGTAAAATATTCAGATATGCACTATTGTTCAAATGTTTGGGGAAGATTAAAGGTTTGGAGAATATTTGTTTTTTAAATATTTTTTAAATGAAGACTGTTATTCTTACCAAGGCTGCATTTATTTGATCAAAATACAGTAAAAATTTAATATTGTAAACTATTATTACAATTTAAAAGAACTGTTTACTACAGTAACAGCCGTTACTACATGTTTTTGTTTTAAGAAATCATTGTAATATGCTGATTTGGTGATTTGGTCATGAGACGTTTCCTGTTTTTTAACAGTGTAAAAGTGTTTAATGTGACTTACGTCAGTTACATCAATTTCATGTGTCCTTGCTGAATAAGTATTAAGTTCTGTTTAAACAAAAAAAAAGTATCTAAGTATATACAGTAAGTATATAAGATGTGACTGAGTGATCACTGTAGAGCTTGTTTGAGTGCACAGCATAAATTAAACTCTGAAACGTAACAAATTCAGCAATTACTCTTTACTTAGAAGACATAGACATGTTAGGGATCTTGAGAGATTGTTTTTTAACAGTGTAAAAGTGTTTAATGTGACTTACGTCAGTTACATCAATTTCATGTGTCCTTGCTGAATAAGTATTAAGTTCTGTTTAAACAAAAAAAAAGTATCTAAGTATATACAGTAAGTATATAAGATGTGACTGAGTGATCGCTGTAGAGCTTGTTTGAGTGCACAGCATAAATGAAACTCTGAAACGTAACAAATTCAGCAATTACTCTTTACTTAGAAGACATAGACATGTTAGGTATCTTTAGAGATATAATGTTCCAGCAAGTCTGCTTGATCAATTACCAAAGAAGCATGTCAAAAATATTCAGGAAAATTAAGATTTTTCTTATCAAAGTTATAAAATGTTGTGTTGCAAAAATTAGTACACCCTCCTGAAAGTTACTAAATAAAAAAAAATAAAAAAATCTGGTGTAAGTTTAAGGCAATTTTTGATCAACAGGTAAGTATGTTGAACCAAAACTTTTAAAAAGAAGTCCTTTCTTGACAATTAAAAGTGTTATATAGCCCAATGAATCATTCTTAGACTAATGCTGACAACAATGGAACCACTTGGGAGAGAACTGTCAGGAGACTTATTTCTTAGCACAAAATAGGACAATGGTACGAGAGGAATACCAAATCAATATTTTAAGTGTGAAAATATGACAAAAGTAGGCGCGTTTCCATTACCCTTCAAATTGCGCAAATTGAAATTGTGAATTGAAAATACGCCCAATGGAAACTCGTCAATTTCGCAAAAACGCCCATATATCACAAAAAAGTTTTTACGCTAGCATGAGGTGGTTTTTCAGGCAATGCGAAAAAGGAATAATTCACAAAACTGCAATGGAAACGGCTTTTTCGCATTTACAGGTCACATGGCGTATGTAAAAAGTCATATGATCATTCTTCAATGTACTATAACCTCCAAGAAACACTTCATAAGTGGCCGCGCTCCAGTATAAGGGGCTTTCCCTACCATTAATGCTTAGACAATTTACACTGCACACGTCTGCGGTGCAGTGTGGCTCTGAATTATTTTTTTTTTATGTGTAATTTTTTTTTTTTTATGTGTAATTTCAGTCCGTTGCCATGACTTATCGCGAGAGGCAAAAGGTTACGTTTAAGTCTCATAACATTGGTTAATGGAAACGCCGTCATTTCGCAATACTTTTTTATCGACATCTATAAAATATCGCCAAAGTTTTGCGCAAATCTGTAATGGAAACGCGCCTAGTAACACAGAAATTCAAAAACAATGAACTTGTGACAAGGCCCCTGAAATAATAAGGCCTTCACTTTAAGTTTTCATTTAGTGATGGGTGATTTTTTGCTAGAAAAAGAGCAGGAGAAATACCAAGCAAGTGTCTCAGAGCCGGCAAAAGCTGTGAAAAAGTGACTGTTTATCTCACAGAGGAAGATGCAGCCTGCAGAAGTGACATGCATGGTTGTTGTTCACACTACCTACTGTAGCCAAAGCACAATAAACTCATTTAACCTTTTCCAAGGTCCATATTTACAAAATATAGTCTTCTGGGAATCCATACTCTGGTCTCATGATACCAAGTTGCTCATTTTGGATCTAACAGCATCTAAAATGTTATGGTGTTGCTAGAGGAGGAGTACAGTGAGAAGTGCCTGGTTCCCACAGTGAAGTTCAGTGGTAGTAAAGCTCTTATATAGGGATGCCACTGTGTGATGTAATACAAAAACTTGAAACAGAAGATGCTACCCTCTCCTCATTCCCTGCATTGTTGGGCATTTTTTTCAACATGACAATGAAGATATGCATTCTCCCAAGGTGAAAATCCTTCAGTAGACATGTATTTCACCCAATCTTAACACTCTTGAGCACCTGTGGGGGATTCTGTAGAGACGAGTTGAGCAACACTCCTCATTAAAGGCCAGGGCATTTAAGGTCATCAACTTGTACACTCAGTGCCAAGAAGGATCGGAGCAATATACTTAAAATTATGGAGGGCATTCTAAGTACTAGAATATTATACATTTGTTGAATTAAACCTAGCGTGTACTCATTTTTGCAATCCTTCATTTAAACAAAATTGGCTAGTTTACTTATTTTACAGATATTAATGACATATATTTCTCTTTTTTTTATTAAGTATATGTTTATTACATTTCAATTTTGCTATCTTTCCATGAATTGTATTAGTAATCATTAAGAAAATACATATTTTGTATTTATTCAGAGGGGGTATACTCATTAATGCTCTGCACTATATATATATATATATATATATACAGTATATATACATATTTACACACACACATTAAAAATCGATTCCTCTTTTGGAACCTGACTGTTGCGCTCTATAGATGTCCCCTGTTCTTTATCAAGCTATGGTTATTTGAAGCACCACTTTAGATTGAAACACTTACAGTGGTTTACTCTTCCTAGATGGAGAATTGCACACAGCCCACAGTGATAACCAAAGACTTATGCATGGTGTTCTACTCAAGAGACGCCAAGCTCCCAGCATCTCGCTCCATCAGGAACCTCTTCAGCAGTGGCACCTTGAGGCCATCTGAAGGGTACAGCTGCTTCATCTCACCGCACAAGTCCTTTGCAGTGTTGCTCTTGTAATTTAAGTTACCATATTGTTTCCTTTCGTTTGTTTTTACATTTAGAAACCGTGTAACTGGTGTGTATGAGCTCAGTCTGTGCCACTTGGCTGATGCAGGGAGCCCAGGTAAGACACCAGTCATCTCATGTCTGTTTCACTGAGGATTTATGGGATGCTGGGCAATTTAGATTTTAGGGGGTTCTGCTGTTGAAATGACACCTGAATGTGCAGGAATGCAAAGACGGCGCAGGAGGGTGCTGGATACGTCGGTGGCATATGTGCGAGGGGAGGAGAACCTGGCTGGCTGGAGGCCCCGCAGTGACAGCCTCATCCTGGACCATCAGTGGGAGCTGGAGAAACTGAGCCTCCTGCAGGAGGTGAGAACATCTACTTATTTGGTTTTCAATGCGATAGAATGTGGCATGGCAGCTCTGCTGGGGATCTAAGCACTCATTTCCTTCTGCCGTATGTTAGGTGGAGAAAACCAGACACTACCTCCTCCTTAGGGAGAAGCTGGAGTCCACCCTGCTGCTGGGCCAGGAGTCGCTGCTGTCCTGCGGGAGTGAGGATCTAACCGAGTCCTCTTCCCCATCCACCCACCTGGGCCTGGGCCACAACCCTTGCCCCGGCCCTGACACACCCAACGAGAGGCAGAAGGAGCTGGCTGCAAAGGTAAATCAGTGACTAACCTGCTTAGTTATATGTATTATATATAATATATTATATATAAATTATTATATTTTATAGCCTGGGCCATCCAGTTTTTTAAATTATTTTTTACACACATACACATACACACACATTATTATTATTATAATTTTTTTATATA